GGGGGTTTATTTTGATGCTCCGGGAAGTTCAGTTAGAGCTGTGCAGAGCTGGGAGGGGATAAAATCTTTAACATTGTCATCTGGTATAGGAAACGCAAAGTCTACCCACAAAAACACTTGGTGGAAGTACTCGGGGGCTGAGCTGATACTTAAAAAACCGACACTATCACACGCGCAGCGTGTCTTGGTGAAGGTTTAATCGCCGCGATATCCGCGCAGGTCTGGCGGGCTGTTGCAACACCCATATTATCTGCAGGGCGTCCAGGTAGTCTATTAGTAGGACACCCTGCTTTATCCCATCCCACATCTGGGGATCCCCTTTCTCCTCTATCCCATCAGCCCGAGACCGCGGGGAAAGCACAGAAGGGCGCTCGGGACGGGCTGCCCACTGGGTCCTGGCAAACCATCGTCGGTACCCCCAGCACAGCCCCGCGGCTGGGTGGATATCAGCTCTGCGGTTAGGGAACTCAGGCGGAGCGCGGGCACCTCAGGCTCGCAGGGTGTCTGCCTGTCATGGTTCCCGTGCAATGATGAGCCTGGGGTGGGACGCAGGGGATGCAGGCATCCTTGGGGGCGGAGGGCGGGGAGGGCTGAGAGGTTAACATTGCGACAAAAACTTAGGCGTAGGTGTTCCCCGGAAAGACTAAACGCTGAGAAACTCTTTTGCAGCCGGTTAAAGAGACCAAACGGCTGTGAAAGCGGGACTTGTCCGGAGAAAGGGGGTGGGGGGCGGCGGGGGGCGGATATGTTCGCGTCCCCGGTGTTCAGTGCTCGCATTTCCCCTCCGCGGGGTCCTCCGGTCCTTGAGGCCCACGGAGTACCGGCTCCCTGCGGGACGCCCCCAGGAGCCAAGGTTCTGCGTGTCCAGCGTGGGAGAGTTGAGTGGAGACTCCCCACCTGCTGAGGCCGATTTTCGCCCGGCAAACACTTCCCTAAAGGCAAGTAGAGTTTGCCCTTCGGCTGGCTTTTCGCCCAAACTTTGTTTTTCGCCTGGTCTTTCTCTCCCTCCTCGAGCAATGAACAAAGCTCTCCCGGCCGTGAGAGTCGTGTAGCAGAGAGGAAAGGGAAAGGTGCGGCCCTGCTAGTTTACGATCACCACGTTCATGGAGGTGTCTTGACCCGGAGTTAGCTTCCCCCCACATCCAGACATTGATGAAAAATTTCTTAAAATATCCTCGCTGAAAGTCATCCAAACCCGTGGCGATACCCCAGGTAACTCCCTCGAAAATGTCACGAGAGGTCCCTGTTATGTGCACAGGGAGCGTGTTTGGTGATGCTTTTGGGGTCAGGCTGGGGTTTTTTTCCCACAAGGCGAGGTAGGCCCCTGCGTTTGCCCTGAATGTCCTTGTCTGCCCTTGAGATGGGAGGTGCCTCAACCCCTCGCATTGCCATGATCATCTCCCCTTTTCCTCTGCCTCGGGAAAGGAGGGAAAGACCAGCTCTTCAACGGGAGCTGGGAAAAAGGGTCCTGATGGTAGCCGTTGGGAAGATGTCTATTAAAAGAGTCACTCCCGCTGCCCATTGAGTAGGCAAAGAAAAAAAAGAAAAGGGGGGGGTGTAAAAAAAAGCGGAAAAACCTCTCCAAACAAACATCGGGATCGCACGGCTACTGCCAGAGGTCCCAAGAAGTCAAGAGGTCCCGGGAGCAGTACAAAGGACGGGACAAGACCGCTGCGAGTCCCTTCCCATCCCGGCCTTTCTGCTCCCGCCGCCGCAGCGGGACTGCCACCCTCCCAGCCCCCAGGGTGGTCGCTCTGAGCCGCCGGGGACGGGCGTTCCTCTGCGGCCGCTCGACTCCTTTCAGCTCGTTAAAATGCCCGCATGCCCTTCATGCGGAAAGGGATCTCTGTCAGTCGCTGTGGATGGAGATCTAAATCCAGGCACCCTGAAACTGACAGTTGGAGGAAAATCCTCCAGGGCTTAAGGAAACGCACTTTTACAATACTGAAGGGATTTGTTTAAGTTTCAGTCTCGGCTTTAATTGAAAAAACGCTTCTCATCTGCAGGACCTCAGAGGAGAGGAAAGAGCCTGAAGCACGCAGTTAAAAAAGAGAGGAAAGGGACAGAAAAAGAACAAAAAGAGGGGCGAAAAAAGGACTCAAAGATAACCGTAAACATTTATCTTTCGTATTTGCCTCCCATTTTCTTAACTGGTTTAGTTTAACTTATTTCATTTAGCCCACGAAGCAGAGGGGACTGTGTTATGAACATGAAACTGAAACCGCAATAATGAAGAGATTTCCTAGAATAAAAACTATGATTATAGAACAACATCTGAGTAACCAAATCTGCCAAAAAGTTTAATTTCCGTATACTCTGGTAAAACAAACCAGTTGTGCTCCGAAACTGGGATCAGCTCAGAAATGGATACACCAACTAAAATAAACATCTCCACCAAACAGCAAATGCACTTCTGTTTAATCATAGGCAATTTAAACCATCTTTTAAAGTCTCAGGATCATGTTTAGGAGACTTCCTAATGCTATATTTCAAACAAGCATCTGCTGCGAAGAAGAAGACGTTGCTAACAGGTAGAAGGCGGCTGACCGAATGTGTTACCCCACTGTTCTCGTATCAGGACTCCGTCAAGTCGAGATTGAAGCAGCACTCGTCTCTCTGCCACAGGGCTACCCTTCTCGGATTTGTCTCATTGTGTGTCCATCTCGCACCGCTGAGAAACCAACGACACCCTAGTGTATCGTGACATCTTGTGCTGGGAGTAAATGATTCTTCCTGCTCGACTAACATTAATGATTGAAACGAACTGTCTGAAACGGGGGCAGGCTAGAGTGATTTACAAGCAACGACCTTCCCCCTTGTCTTTAATGCCTTCGGTCTTGGACATGTCATCCAAAGGTGACATTTAGACAGACATCCCGCCGAGGAAGGCGAAAAAGCACCCTCACTTGCCGATCGAGAGCGAGGAAAGATGTTTGTATTTAAAAACACGGATATTGAAAAAAAAAAATCAGAATAGGTCCTTACAATGAGATCAGGAATTGCATGTTGGCCTCCCTGACCTTCGAGACAACAACAGGGGAAAAAAAGATAAAAGAGATAGATAGATAGATGATAGATAGATAGATAGATGGATAGATAGATAGATAGATAGATAGATAGACAGACAGATATTCTTCTGCTTTTTTTTTGTTTTATTTCTTTCTTTTTTTTTTTTTAGTGGAAACAATTTAAATCGATGCCTCAAGGAAGGTAAACATGGTCTATCGACCAGGCGATTATTTTTTCTATTAAAAATGTGTCGTAAACATTGCCAGGCTTGGTAGTGTTTTTCTTAGCTGATCCTCAGATACAATCAAGCCATTTTCGGACACATTCCCATGTATGTAGCAGTGGTGATCTGGAGGAAGCTGTCGACGCCTGTTCAGTTAATTTAGGTTTTCTTTGTCTAATTACTGTGGAGCTTAGGGAAAAGGAGCCGGGCTCAGGGCAGTAAACTGACACTTGGGCTCTGTGTGTGGTATCCAGGCAAAGTTTGATGGAAAAAGCCTGCTTCCACTCAACTGCAGGTCACTGTCTGGGACCAGCCCCACCCCCTCCCTGCCCGTACCCACCAGCGAGCTCTCAGCACGGAGCTGCTCTAGAGACAAACGGACACACAGACACACACACACAGCACTGCAGGCACGCTGACACGTCGTCCCACTCTGTCCACGTCCTTCCCACCCCCGTGCCTTTGGTCCAGCATCCCTGTCTGCTCTGCCTCTTTTCCTGCCACCGTCCTCTTTGCGTCTCTAGTTTGATACTGGAGCCTCCTCCATCATCCGAGAGCAGGCCTGTGCCTCCGGCGGCCCCTCTCCTCCCTGCCCCCTCCGGCGCCCCGTTTCCTTCGGCAACCGGCGTTTGCCAGCACGCGTGACCCACCCGTTGCACCGGGCGGGCGTCCCCGGAGGGCGGAGGGAGGGCGCATCTCTGATCCTCGGACTCTGCCCCCGTTGCTCTGTAAAATGAATGGAGTTTTATAGGGCTGTGGGGGTGGCAGGGGGTAGCGAAAAGTCTTTAAAAACAGATGTATAGCAGGCTTGAGAAGCAACAAACACTGCTGCCTCGGGCTCCGGAGGGTGGGCGACCCCCTCATATGCATCTACGCCCGCACACGGCTGCGTCAGCGCCCGTGTGACCCGGGGTGCACCGGCAGAGCTTCGGACTTGCAGCCGCTCGACTCGCCCCGGGGCGGTGCCGGGGATCAACGGGCAAAGAGGTGCCTATGGGGCCACGGGAAATCCGGGGAGACAGTAAGCGGGACCGGTGCCGGACCGGCAGCGGGAGCGAGCCGGGGATGGTGCCGCAGCAGCAGCGGGAGCCGCAGCAGCAGCAGCGCCTCCTGCCCAGATGACGGGTGGACAGAGGCCAGCTGGAAAGGGGGTGGTCTCTTTCTCCCTCCTCTCGCTCCCCCTCTCCCTCTCTCTGTCTCTGTTGATTTCTCGGCCGGATTCAGGGGGGTTGTGGGGAAGAGAAAAAAATAATAGCAATATTGAAGGAACTGATAGGCGGTCGCGCTGTGCCTTTTACGCAAGAAAAAAGTATATATTAAAGAGTAACAGTGCGGAAGAGATTGGAGAGGGGGGCTCTTGCGCTTCCTCTCCTTGCCGGTTTAGGCAGCGGGATGGTCCCCAGGTGGGGGTCAGAGAAGGAAGCGGAGCGGCGCTGAGCGGAGCCTCCGCGGGCGTCGCGGCGCAGGGAGGGAGGGGGCCGGACCAGGGCCGGGGCCGGGGCCGGGCCGGTCCATCCCGCCCAGTGCCTGGCTCCGGCGGAAAGCAGAGGAGCCATTGCGCAAGGGACCGTGGGGAGGGATGCGCAGGGCGCTGCCACCGCCCCACCGCCGCCCGCCGCGCTGAGGAGGTACCCGGAGGACAGCGGCTCCCACCGCCCCCCCCTTTCTCCCCCTGCGGGGCACCCCCGCCCCGGTACCCACCCCACTCGGCTCCCCCCCTTCCCTCCCAGCCTCACCCCACCCTGCCCCATTCCCCTCCCTCCGCCAGATGACCACCGAGAGCGGGCAGCAGCGGCTGGAGCCCCCCGTCCCTCTCCACTCCTGCAGCCCGGCTCCCGGAGCTCTCCAGATGAGCCGGCCGCCCTCCTCCGCCCTGGAGACCTCCACCTCCTCTTCCTCCACCTCCACCTCCTCCTCCTCCTCCTCCTCGGCGGCGGCGGCGTCCTCCAAGAGCAAGAAGGCCAGCTCAGGGCTGCGGCGGCCCGAAAAGCCCCCCTACTCCTACATCGCCCTCATCGTCATGGCCATCCAGAGCTCACCCTCCAAGCGCCTGACTCTCAGCGAGATCTACCAGTTCCTACAGGCCCGCTTCCCCTTCTTCCGAGGCTCCTACCAGGGCTGGAAGAATTCCGTGCGCCACAACCTCTCCCTCAACGAGTGCTTCATCAAGCTGCCCAAGGGCCTGGGCCGCCCGGGCAAGGGCCACTACTGGACCATCGACCCGGCCAGCGAGTTCATGTTTGAGGAGGGCTCCTTCCGACGGCGGCCTCGCGGCTTCAGGAGGAAATGCCAGGCGCTGAAGCCCATGTACCGCATGATGAACGGGCTGGGCTTCGGCGCCTCCATCCTCCCACAGGGCTTCGACTTCCAGGCGCCCCCCGCCTCCCTCGCCTGCCACTCCAACGGCTACAACCTCGACATGATGCCCAACGCCATGGCCAGTGGCTACGAGGGACTCAGTGGCGGCCACCACGTCCCGCACATGTCTCCCAACCCCGGCTCGACCTACATGGCCAGCTGCCCGGTGACTGCCAACGGGGACTACGGCCCTGACAGCAGCAGCAGCCCCGTGCCCTCCTCGCCGGCCATGGCGAGCGCCATCGAGTGCCACTCTCCCTACACGAGCCCTTCGGCTCACTGGACAGCCTCGGGGGCCTCGCCCTACATAAAGCAGCAGGGCCTCCCCGCCGCCAACGCCGCTTCCTCCGGCATCCACTCCAGCGTGCCCTCCTACTCCCTGGAGCAGGGATACCTGCACCAGAGCCCCCGCGACGACCTCTCAGGTAGGGACCCGGAGGGGCGACGGGGGCGGTGGGGAGTGCGGCGCCGGCGGGAGTTTTCGCTGGCGACAAAGGTTTCGCGCGGGGAACCCCAGACCACCACGGTGTTGGAAAAAGAGGTGCATTGTCTGCAAGAAGGAAAAAAATACGCGTGGGTTGGAGCTGTTCTGCTTCGGGACAGGGGGGCTGTCGGGGGGTTGGCGGTGGGTACGGCTGCGAGCATCCCTCCTTCTTGCCGAGAGCCAAGAAGGAGCAGTTCGCGGAAAGCCAGGCTCGTGCCGGCTTAGTGCCGGCTCGGTCGCGGTTCACACGTCCCCGTCCCGGTGTCTGCGACATGTACGCGGCGGTGGGAGAGGGGTTCGCCCAGCCGTCCCGGGCTGCGGCTTCACTTCGCGGAGAGCGCCGCCGGGCATCGCCGCCGCCTCGGTAAACCGCGCTCCGCGGAGACGCGTCGCGGGAGTAATCAAATAAAGGCGTCAAATATTATCCTCTAAACCCTGCGGGTGAAAAAAAAAAAAGTAAGAAGAAAAAACCCCTAATACCAAAACCACCCGCTTATCTTAAAAAATGCTAGAGAGATTAAAGCGGATCGAGTATATTTCTGCAACTGGAGGGAAAGAGTTTTCTGGTCTCTGTCTCCCACCCCTTCATTCCTCCCCCCACCACCCCGGCCGGTGATTACAGACAAAGTCTGTTCAGAAATATCTGAGCACAAAAATGGGTAAAAGATGTTGGGCTCTTACGGGGAATTTTTCCAAATAGCCCTTTTAAACGTAGGTCCCAGAGGTTAAGCAAACAAAGACAGTCTGGGCTGGACCACACCGAAGAGGATTTTAGCCTGACTTAACCCCTATGAGAGCGGGGTCTTGTTCAATTTTATGGGAATTTCAACAAGTAACAAATACAGGCGACCCTCAGCTCTGGGTCCCCTCCCGCCCCCTCCCTGGACTCCTGTCAATCACTTTCCTGTCCTGCGAGAGCCGGAGTCTGCCCTGGCCTCCTCAGTCTGCTGTCGCCGTGGGGAGGGCGAGCCGCTGGGCAAGTCCCTTTGCCATCATCGCAGAAGGGATATGGGCTGACAGGGGAGACCAAGCGATTGCAAATTTTTCTCTCTTAAAAAATAATAATAAAAAAAGACCCAAAACCCTAAATAGGCCTGATGTATCTTCTGGGGAGAGGCGGCTGCCAAGCGGATCACCGTCCTACCAGCGTTTTGGCACAGAGGAGTGCAGGGACCAGGGGCGTCCCCAGGTGGGCTCCTCCGTGCCTACAGCGCTCTCCTGCTGAGGTTTAAACCAGCTTTTCTGAGATATAGGCCATCCTTCCACGTGCTTTTTAGGGCCGAGGCGAGAGGCCAGTGGGTTCACAAGGGCATCCCCCACCGAACTACGTACTTTCACCGTTAGGAATTTCTGCTTTGGTTTGTTGTTTTTGCTTGGATTTCTGTTTTCTTTTCCTTTCTTTGGGTCTGTTTCCCTCTCTTTGCTTTACTCTTTGCGGCCGCACAGTCCGCTACGCAGTGCCCATGGGGCCCACGCGTGCAGCGGGAGTGGGACTGGCACGGGGAGCAGAGCTGGGAGGCAGCTGCCTCCTCCTCCTGCCAGACACCTGAGGTAAGAAAGCCGATTCCTAGAAGAGAAATTTTCATCCAGAAGCTGCCCAAGAATAAGCTTCTGAAACAAAATGCAGAGGGAGAGAGAGCAAGGGTTCTGGTCCCCCCGGACCTTCCACTGTGGTTTCCGAGGTCGGGGTGGTTTAAATCCCAATTGTTTCTGTTTAAGGACGGATATAGACCTAGACGGACCATTGGACACTTTCTTAACGCCGACGACGAGCGTCCGTTTCCAGTAGCTCAGATTTAATGCCACCACTATGCAAAACGGGGTTTCTCTGGTTATTTTCTACATCTTCATCATCTGGGCCTAGGAATTTAGTGTAAACCATCCCCAGTTCTTGATTCACTAAAAAGCCCAAACCAACTCTTTATTTTTTTACGGGGATCCAATTCTTATTAGTGCGTGATACGTAAAATGTCTGTGGCATAAACATTTTAGAAGAGCGAAAGGAGATGCAGAAAAAAGAATCCGAGTTCTTTCATTTGTAATTATAACCAGCAATAATCTTTCTCCCTCTCCGCACAAAAGCAGCATCAAGTGAATTTCACCTTTCCCTTTCTCTTAGTGAAATGCAAAGCAAATTCGGTGGCAATCGCTGTTGATCGGTCAATAATCCTCTACCCGTGACAGCGTCAGGGAGGACTTATAACCTCGAATTTACATCAGACCCAAGTGTAAGAGAGGAAAAAATTGGAAACAGGAGGCTTGGTTCTGCTAAAAGGATTTTGAAGCTGGGGGGTGGGGGGAGCCGGATTTTTTTCGCACACTATTAAATCCTGCTAAATTATTGAATCAGGATTGTAATAAAGTGCCCCAGTTTATGGTGAGCATACCAGCAGGGTTATTAGAAAGCCGAGGAAATCCAGCGAAATAATCACTTTTATAAAGTGAGCTCTGCGGGGTGAAGGAAGGGACAATGCCGGAGGAGACGGGCTGTGCGCGCCACCGACCGCCGCCGCCAAAGGGTTCGGCTCCGCCATCCTGAGAAAAAACGGGGATGTCTCCCTCCTGTTTTTTTCTCCTTTTTTCTTTCCTTCTTTCTTCCTTTTTTTCTTTTTATTTTTTTTCCCCTCCTCCTGCCCCCTCCTTCTCCTTCTCTTGTGCTGCTTTTTTTTTTTTTTCTTCCCTTGACCCTCGGTCATATTTGACAGGATGCCGCTAGCCGAGTTTGACATCCATACGCCAAACCAAACCCCTCTCTGGCTCTACCCTGCGGGCCTTGCTCAGGCCGGATCCAGTAGGAACCCTGCCAGACTAAAGATCCCAGCATGGTCCTACGGCGCGGAGTGTTGGGGGTGGGGTGCTGTTTCCCATACCGTCCCATAAAGGCTGCCTTAGGCTGTGGGAAATTAAAATGAGAATTTGCAAGGTCATTTACATGTCGGTGCCACGGATGTATTTTGCTTGTTGTTATTGATGAACCGTAGGGTGTATCTTATGTTTATGAAAACACGCAGGCGAAAAGGTGTGCACGTTCTTACACACACATACATAAATAAATACATACTGTATCAATACACGAATGGATCGTGATTGGAACTCAATCTTCAACCGTTAAAGTCAAAAGCAAAAACCTCGCAGGAACGGGATAGGGAGGGGGGGAGAGCGAGGAAAGATGGGAATCAGGTTTAAATGGCTGCGACGCGTGCAGGAAAACACGCAGGTGGCATTATCTCCTCGGGCGCACACACACAGACACAGACAGACACAGACACAGACACTCCCTCACCTACCCCACATGCAGAGGGTGTACTAACCCTACACACTGGTAACAACGCGGGTAGAAGGGCAGACAGATAGCAGTGCGTGTGTGTCCACGCAGGAGGGATTCTCTGAGATACGCGTGCGCCTGGGACGCGGCCGGGCACGTGTCCGTGGACATCCACCTCCGCATGCCTTCCTCTCCTCAGCCTGCGTGCCACACGGTTGTGTAGTTTAGAACCTCCCCGTAAAGCAGGCGAGCGGGCTCGTACGAGCACGGGTGCAGCCCCGAGCCCCGCGGGCGATGGGGGACTCCGGGCAATTCACGTCTCCTCCTCGGTCGGGGCTCTCTGCCCTGCAAACGGGGCAGGCTCTGCCCCGGAGGAGCGTCCAAGTCAACTGCCAGGAAAGCCAAAGAGGAGTTACCAAACCTTGCAGGGGGGAGCCGAGACCCGGGGTAAGGAAGCGGTGTGCCAGCCCTATGCAGGCAGCCTCTCCTCTCTGCGGGTGTGGGAGGAAGGGCTCTCCGCCCGGGCAGAGCTCTCCGACTTCTGAGCAGCTCTTGTTATTTCCTTCTCTTGCAGTGGGACTGCCTCGCTACCAGCATCATCCCTCCCCAGTGTGTGACAGGAAAGATTTTGTCCTCAATTTTAATGGCATTTCTTCTTTTCACCCATCCGCTAGTGGATCTTATTACCACCATCATCACCATCAAAGCGTCTGTCAAGACATCAAGCCCTGCGTGATGTGAAGGCAGCGCTCCAACAGAGACAGTCAGATGGTGTTGAACAGAGCCGAGATATAGACGGACCACCGAAGATTAAATATATTGTGCACTCTGATAGCATTGATAGTACACGAGTCACTTAGCAAAATTACCAAAGGAAGCAGTGTTTTCGGTCCCACTCCATCCCTTGCAGGACACGTGCAGCCGATATAATGCTCCAAAGCTCTTACTAAAAGAAAAATGCCTTGTGTGATATTTTGCCTTAGGGGAGACGTAAGTATCCTTATGCCGCCTGAATCATATATCGCCTTTCTGTGATCTAAAGTATCGAGCATTGGGAAAGGGAACAATTAATTATATTTTTATACCTGAAAGTGTATTTGAATAGGAAAAATAAATCTCTCGGCTCAACACCTGCGAGGACTCCCCCTTCCGTTACTGCGTTAGCAGGAAATTTGCTTCTTTATTTTGTTTTCTCCCCGAGCCCCACCAAGGACACTTTGTATGGACTTCAGCACCGACCAGTTGATATTATTAAAACAGTGTTGTTTAGCCATTTCGTGTATAGACTTTAAGAAAAGTTCAATTTTTTCCAGTATTGCAGCAATACAACGTTTCGTTTTTTATTTTTACAGAAGTTGTTTTCTACCACAATATTTTTAAAAAATTATTTTAAATAAATCTCGTGTATACTCACACACTATTGCTTTAAAAGGAGAATATATTTGCACTTATGTATTCTTTTTACAGTTTGCCAAAATATTTTGATGTAAAAATTTTTTTCCAATAAAATGTATATAAACGACTATCACTGGACAGGCACTTATGTTCCTTCGTCTCCCTCTGAGAAAACTCTTCCACCCCAGCATCCGAGGTCGTTAAAGATGCAAGCCCACATCCCCCAGCCGCTGGAAGTGGAGGAGGAGAGCGAGTGGCTGACCCGAGGTGTCATGGTTTCTGGACTGCACCTCCTGCCCTCAGCCACTTCCCACCCTGCTTTGCCCCGCTGCTGGACAGACTTTGAATTAACCGGGGTGGAGGACACAGAAGCAGGAGGGTCCAGACTGCACACTCCTCTCTTCGAGGACTCGTCCAGGTCCGAAACACCCTCTCTGCTGTTTAGGGATGCCTCCAGGTGTCCCCGTGTCCCCGTCCCACATAGCCCCCTCGAAGTTCCTCTGTGCCCTATAGGACTTTGCCAGGTGCGGGAGCAAGAACCCCTGTGCAATGTGATGTTGGACCCGGAAAGGCATGTCACGGGTGGGCGGCGAGAGGGATCCGCGATAAAATCGTGGCTTGATGAGGGCTCGGTGAAGCACCGACAAACGGTGTGGCCAGCGAACCGGGCCGGAGGGGAGAGAGAGGGAAAAAAGTAACAAAAGAAAATGAAAAAAAGGCCCCCTTAGCACCCTAGGCAAAGCAACCCTTGTCCCCACGATGCCAACGTGCCCCGTGGATGGCAAGCGGCCAAGACCCGGAGCCGGAGCCGGGAGCTGCTGGCCCGTGCATCCTGTAGACGCCCATGGCCGCGCCGACTCCACGGCTGGGGAATGCCCACGGAACCCACCCCAATTCGACCCGGCAAGTGACCAGGAGCACAGCCCTGCGCGGCCCCACCGTCGGGTGCGGCTCGCCGCCTGCCCCCCGAGCAGCCCGTCCCGTCCTACGGCGGGGACAGAGCCCCGACGTGCCCCGCCGCCCGACTCTCTCCGGCCCCGCGCCCGGACGCTGAAAAGCGGGAGAGTTTCAGTAAAATGCTACATGCATATGTGCACACGTGTATATATATATATGTATATATATATATATATATATGCGTACACACACATACACACATATATAAAATTATATCTTTGTAATTATACATAGAGATAAGACTCGTCATCTCCTTAAATACACACTTATGCTCAGACATGCCCTTTTCTTCCCCGAGCTTCTCAGGGCCTGTGATAAATTATAAAGTCAGTTTCAGAGTTTGCTCCGACCACAGTGCTGTGTTTACATTCTTTCCGAGGCAAGCCTGCATGGTCGTAATTTATATCCTAAACACTTGAACGTAACTTGTTTACACAGGAATGACAGGACCTCAAAGAGAAAAAAACTGCCTTTCCCTCCCCGGCCGCCGGGCGTGGGGCTCCAGTGCCCTCCAGCGGCCCCTGCCCGCAGCGGCGCCCCGGCCGCCGAGCTGCGGGCAACCCCCTCAGCTCCGCGGCTTCACCCGATGTTGTCATGGCCATTTTTATTTTCTTTTAATTATATTTTTCCTCACCTTTTGAGTGCTGTTATATCCCAGAAAACGTGAGTTTTCTGCTCACAGTGGCTGTTCTCCTAAGAAAGGGGAAGGATTTGCTTAGGGTATACTTCTGTTTTGGGCTTCTATATTCTGCTTTGGTGATTTAAATTTACTAAGGTTCCCTTTTTCCCGTTAAACCTTCCCAAACAAAGGACGTTTCAGAACCAGTACTCTTTAGATAACAATATGTTTCTGGGTGCTGCCAGTAAAATGAACTCAGTCTCTTTCCCCTGAATTTAAGGGTGACTTAAATGGCAGGGAGGGAAAAAAAGCTGACAGATTTTTAAGTTAATTTGATCTGATTTTGTTTTGATATTTGATTTTATTGTAGTACCTTCTACCCTAGGAATTCAGCTTTTGTTTAGTCTAAAGAACTCCAGTGGTTGCAGAGCCAGTGAGATTCAAGACCAAGAGCTATGCCACTGCAAGAATGAGGTATTTACATTTTAGCCTTACAGTTAAAAATTCTCTGCATCTTTTAACATTTGTTAACAGCCATCGAACATGTGCAAGTACTTCGTATTTCAGAAACAGAAATTCTCTGTTAGAGGTGCAGCACACTGAGACTTCTAATCATAGCAATAGTGATGCAGTACTCATCTCTGAGACTTCCAGAGACTTACAGTATCAGAGAAAGTATCAGACAAAGCTGAAATTTCTAATGTTATAACAAAACCAAAAATCTGGATGTGTATATTTAGTCTGAGCATTGTGAAAGATCCAGGAGGGCAGACCTGAAGCTGAGCACGTATTTACTAGTCACCCTGTAGGGAAACCTGTAGTTGTTATGCTGAAATGAGCATCAGGTGGTATAAAACATGGGAAGGTCTGTGTCTCTGTAGCTCTGGGTTGTTGCTCTTTTCCTTGACAATAGTCTGTTCTCTTCCTTTTTGTATCTTCATTCTTTGCCTGCTAACATGTCCCTGACTGCTTTGTTCTCTATGTTTGGATTGTAAGACACCTAAGTGGGACTTTTTTTTTTCTTTTGCAGTGCTGTGGTACAAGTAGCACCCAGCAACAGTCACATACCTCCACTGTGTCTGAAAATATGGTCACTGCTGACTTTTAGCCTAGGGCTTCAGCTCTTACATTTACTTTGTCCTTACAGGTGAGCACAAAGGAGGATGAGAGCAGAGAGTTTCTAGGTACACTTCTGGTCTATCCCAATGAAAAACTTGTGTATCCAGAAAGCTGCATTAGCTTTTCCAACAGATCAGTTGTTCTAACGCATTAGTAATGTGTCTCCTGCAAACCTCGCCTCCCTAATGACCTTGGACTGCCACAGCTACAAGAAAGCTACAACTAAATTGCAAATACTTAGTCATCCAGACTGATGGCATAGCTCACATTTGGTGAGGTGCTGAAGCAAATGGATTGAACATAGGCTAATCCAAACATTTCCATTATTAGAGCACACTAGGCAGAGTCTCTGTGGGACGGGAATGAAATCACGCTGGAGCGCCTCAAACAGTTTGCATGTGATCCGCTATAATCTTACATATATATTTTCTCCATTGTCTGGTTTCATCACAGTCTTACCGCCTCAGTGGAGGGATTTTGCTTGTGAGGGTGTTTATGTTACACACAAAAAAACCCACTCAACCACTTGAAAGCTGGGATCATTTGAACAATAATTTTAACATTGGCAAAATTAGCCAAACGCTGATATCTTATGTGGGATGTCAAATTTCTAGTTGGTAGTTGACCAAAGCATTCTTTAAAAGAGTCAGTTTATCAATCTCATTAAATCTTCTTGCCCATTATTCTATTAAGACCAACATCAGATTAATATCTTGCTGTGTTTTGGCTCAGCTGGTAAAGCACTTTTAGCCAACATCACATTTTCAGTTTAGCGTGAGAGTTTTAGCCTGCTTTTCAGGCAAAGAAAAGTAAAGATTTTTATTTTTTTTTAACTCAATAACAATAACCCTGATTTTATTGAACTAGAAAGATTTGCTCATAAGCTATACACGAGGTAATATTTAAATAAGACTGTTCAGTAAAATGCTAGATATGTCACTTAGGCCCCGAGAAAGCAAGGTGCTGTTTTCAATTATAATTTTAATATACCTGAGCCCATGAGTACTCCCATTAAACTCAATGGGATTATGTAGATGCTTAGGGTTAAAACTGCTTTGCTGGAGATGGATGATGGGACTAGAATTAAACACTACAGGTTCCTCCTATATGCTGCAGCTGAGCTCTGTATAAGAAAAGGAGTAGAATATACCTGATTCATATACAGGATGAAAATTAATTCAAAACATACTCTAGTTTTGAATAGAGATGTATTTTACAAAACCTGCTGGCATTAATCTGCATGAAATACTGCCTTAGCTAATAAGAACACCCGGGCTTTATTTATACATTGAGCCATTTGATAGATACAAATGAAGAAAGAGGTAAATAGAAGCCAACATATTTTTGAATAAAAGCCCAGAGGTTCTTTCAGAGTTCAATGATCTTTGTGTCTAGATTATAAAGAATTCAGAGCAGCTTCGTGTGACTTGCCAACTACTGAATAGAGCTCCAAAACATCTGTAATATTAAACAACTTCAAGCCTCCTTTTTATGCTTGTTTTCATCCACCAGTGATTTATAGAAATCTATTGGCTTCTCCACTGGTCTTTTCTAAGAAGAAATATGCAGAAAGGAGGAGGAGGTTTTAAAATTTGTTGGGACACCACTACCAAACTGCAGCTGGAAATTAGAGGTATTTTAACAGTGGATTTAGATTTATTTAGGAGATTATGGAGAAATGTTAACTGCTTACATCGATTATTTTAAGCATTGCAAAATGAATTTTTGGTGTTGTGCAAAGAAGCATTGGGTTCACAGGTAATTCGATGTTTTCAGGGTAATTCGATGTTTTCAGGGTAATTCAAAGAGACTGAGCTGCTTTTGAGGAACAGGATTTCTTGGACTGGATCCCCACTGGTAACATTTTCCTTGCAGTAGATTTGCAGTCCATTAATTCTTACTGTCCAAATATAGGTAGCATTAGTTTAAATTAGAAGTTTTATAACTGATTTAGCTGAGCTACTGAAATCCCTTATATACACAATCTTATCTCATTTTCAGAGATCCTCTTTGGATTGGTTTATACCTGTCCTGATTAACATATACCAAACACATTTTACTTGGTGAAAAATATCTCAGTTTTGGTTTTGGATCAGTTCAAGCTAGTTTAAAATTATTCTCTGATACTGAGACTCATGCACAAGAGTTTTCTGATATGATGAGAAGTGTGATTTAGTTCAAACTGCATAACTGGTGTTTGTGGACACTCCATCACTATAATCCTTCG